TTGTGAATGTATGTACATTTGTGAAAGTGTGTTTGTGTATCAAGATGCTGAATAAGCAGCCCCTGATACAATGTGCTGTCCACCACTATAATGTCTGAGGCATGATAAACCTGGAAGGGTAAAGAATTAGTAGCAAAATGTCAGCAATGTCCTTCTGAATCAAGAAAGCCTAAACTGTAGTCTGTTAACTGTGTATTTCCATGTGATAAATGTTTGTGGTCCAACTCTGCAGCCTGAGGAAACAGTTATTGCTCTACAATAAAAGATTAATAGATATATGTAGTAAGACACTTAGATAACACAAAACATTACCGAATACATGGGCATTTAGTTTAATTTCCCAGATCCTTTTTAGATAGTTGCTTCCCCTTTTTTTGATTAAATAACTTTTCCCAAGTCTGCTTACACGCATTCAGAAAACCAGGAAAAATCATCACACAGGACAGGCCCTATCCTGACTCCAAAAATATTTGTCATTCACATTTTCCTTCCCATGACTTCTTACTTGGGAACCTACTGTGATATTCTAGATTGGTTTCTTTTGCATACCAAAGCACTTGCTCAGATTGGTCTGTTTGTCAATGAAGACTTTAGCAGAGATAACATTTCCAAAAGGCATGAACATCTGCAGAATGTCCTGGTCTCCAAACTCCTGTGGAAGGTGGTAAATAAAGAGGTTTGCACCCTCTGGACCTAAAGAGCAAAAAAGAAATCAGAGTAAGGTATCCCTTGAGTCTTAGTTCCCAAAACTTCTTCTTAGGAATACTTTAACAAAAAGTAGGCTAAACATTTGGCTTTTTCTCATACTAAAAGGGAATAAACAGATGCATTAACGTGAAGTGCTGCTATGTCTTTGGGGAAAGCACTCATCCTTCAGGTTTTCCTGATTTCCAAAGAGATTCTGGCGATGAATGGCTTCCTTTTCAATGATAGTCTTCTGTGGGTCACGTGTACTTATTTCACATTGGCACTCCTTACGGGGGTAAAGGTGGTGATAATGGTCAGGATGGGGACAGAGAATCTAGGCTTGGGCTTTTCCTCCATGGCCATATTTTCTTATGCCTAGACCAGCTCTTAGAGAAGAGTGTTCCATGCATTCCAAGTGAGTTGCTCAATTTAGAATAATGGATATAGCAGTAATGCTGCTTCTCATTTGCCTAGTTATCCAGCCAGTTTTGGTTTGCCAAATCTTGTAACACACAGTCTAGTAACCATCTTTATTGGAAATGGCTGGCCATGAATCAAGGCAGGGATAAAAGGTAGCTAGAGTTGCACAACTTTGATAAGAATTGTACTGCTGGAAATTAGTCTTGGAAATGCATACAGTGGATATTGAAGCCAGTCAAAGATTGAACTAAGATAAGCTTTTAATTTTTACCCATCCTTTCCCAGCAGCACAAGAAACAAAGGAGAATAAGGAAACTCTTCAGAAAAGTCTATCCTGGTTGGAGAGGTAAACTCTCTTAGCCCCTCTCCATTTCACACTCTCCCCACCTATGCAAGAGCTATCTGAAAGTTGAAAGAAGCAAAGAAGAAAAATGTAATGCAGAATGTTCAACAAGAACATTACTACAGGTTTTTTAAAAAGATGTACAATTTTCTTGATAGAGTTTATTTTTGATCCATATTATGGTTCTTTTATAGACCAATACAATGGCTGAACATTTTCACAAAGTGTAACTAAATCTGGATATGATATTGTCATTTAGGGGATTTTATTTTACTTTTTCTCCTTTAAGATTCAATGCAGTGAAGTTGTTGTGACTATAGAGGAAAAAAGTCTAAATTAAACTTTGTGCTTAAGGAAAAGGAAGAGAAGAGAATTCAAATGTGCTTGATGAAGAATAAGAGCTGGATGCCCCTTGGAAATCTGAGGCACGATGTCTTTCGGGAAGGAAGGGCGCTCACAGAAGAGGTGAAGGAACTCCTGTGGCAGGTTCATGGATCCTTAACTGCAACTACAGGAGAGGAACCAGGCCTACTGGCCTACTGGGGAGCCCCAGGGAACACACTACAATGTGTTGCCTAGACAGGATGGAAGGGTATATTGATGAGCTGAAGAGCAATAAAATGGGGATACAAAGAACTTTGTAAAAATAAATGGGTTAACATCTTGGCAAAGTTGTATCAATTTTTCCCCCTGTGCTCCCAAAAATCATAAAAAAGTATTCCAGTGAATGGGACTTTTCACAAGACTTCTTGAGGCAAGTTTCAGAAGTTACAGAGATTCTTTCTCCCTCATTTAAAAATCTACCTGCATGACTATTTTAACTTCTTATATTGCTTACAACTTCCATGAACATATACACATTCCAATACAGGGGATTGTGTAAAAAACAAGTCTGTATTTTAAAAGGGACATGACTGTAGGGATTAGGTCTCCAAAATGTTTTTTTTGGTTAAAAAAAAAATTTAATATGAATAAACTGAAGAACAAAAACACTGGAAATGAATATTTGGAGTGGTATTGTGCTGTACACATTGTTTGCAATATATGTATTGGTCAAATCTGGTACCATCAGATTTAATTTTTCTTGTAAATAAAAGATCCAAATGCCCAAATGAGGATTAATGGACCCAATTTGAATTGTGAAATATAATACATCTCACCTCTTGGAGCCAGGGAGAAAATACAATTTTAATGTACAAGACAGGTAACTGGCTATGCCTGAATAATCCTGCCGTTCTAAAATGCTGTACTGTATCCATGCCAGATAGGGAAACCAAGAAAATACGGAGACAGGCAAACACACCTGTGCAGGCTTTGCTTTTTGTTCATTACTTTCCCAGAAAAAAATGTCAAGGCACCTCCTGCTAGAGATCCCTCCAGTTTTTTGCATCACCAAGAAACAGTCTGATACTGTAGTGGCCCCTTAATTTTTAACATTAAAATGCAAAAATAGTGATTTCATATGGAAAATCTTTCTTGATGCAACAAAACAGCTGATACCAAAAGTAAGAAAAAAACTTTTTTTTTGAGGATTCTACATGTTTATCACTCCTCTTTATCCAGAAGTGGTAAAACCTGTTCACCAGCCACTCTTCGGTCAGATTTCTCCTAGTACATGGTATTTAAATGTGTGGAAGTTATCTCTGTTACACTGCTGGTCCTAGCTGGTTGGGGCTTTCATATATTTTCTCATGGGGCACTTGATTTAGATATAGCACGGGAGTGCTGGTGGGAACAAAGCTCTATGAGATCACCAGTTCCTACCAGCTTCTCATCAAGTGTCCTAGGGTCTAACTACCTGTGTGTACAATTCACCTCCTACAATAGAGGAACAGGAAGATAATGAAAGTAGTGAGAGGATATCTAGGAATGGCAAGAATGCAATCAACATTCCTGGATTTAGATCTGAAGGGATGCAATAACCCTTCAGAAGTCTTGGCTGTGTAAAAAAAAAAAATAATAAACCATTTCTTTACCAAGCCAAACTGACTCACTCTCCTATGGGTAAAAAATATACCAGGGTACATGACTAAATACATCAAAAAACTTTCAGCTCTCACAACTAAAAGACAGAACTGTGGGGAAGGTAATCTAGAAATCTATTTAATAGTGGAATTCATTGTGTTTTAGTTTCTTTCCCAATGTACTTTGCCTTTTAAATAATGGTTTAGTAAAACTAATATTAAGATGGTTTAAATTTCCTGAGTAAACAACTCAGGTGAGAAGGATGTGAATGGAAGAGAGGTATGAAAAAGTAGATGCTTTAAAAAAAATGAAATAAACCAAAATCTACCACCACTAACAAAAAGTAAAAAAAAAAAAAAAAAACCCATCAAAACCTAGCTCATGTTACTAGTAGCCCATGTTCCTAAATGAAGATAATCAGGTGTTGGCAGTAGTTATTTTGAACTATTTTATATTAATCCTAGAGGGGTAATTACTGAAAAAGCAATTTCTAAAACTCAAGGCATGGAAATTTAGAGCGGTGGACTAGGGTGAAGCAACTCAGAAAAATGTTTCAGGGTCCAGACTTTAACCTTTAATCCCTGAATTTTGTCTTTCGGTGACTGACATTTTTGCAGTGACACGGGCTGTCTGATTGCTGTATGGCTCTGTTAGATCACAGAGAAGTGACCGCCATGTTCTGCAACACGTGGGAGGACTGGCTGATGGCTCCGAGGATGTCACTGTCTTACAGTTTCCTTCCTACCGCCCTTTTCTGTGTCGTCATGGTGGTCAGAACCCAGACAAAGGAATTAAACGCAGGCTTTCCTTTGGGAAGATATGTGTTTATTACACAGGTTCTCTCTCACATGCCTGATGAAACCACTGCTGTCTCAACAGTTGAGTCTGTTTAAAAACAAAGCTATGATAACAGGCACAAATAAGAGTAAAGAGAAAGTTGAAATAATGAAAAATAATTTAGACTTCTAGATACCTTTTATTTTTAATGCTCTCCATGTTGTTGATAAAAAAAAAAGAAAACCTTTTTCCTTTCTTTTTGTATTGACACACAAGTATCTTTTAAAACTCACACACTTGGTGTGAGTTTTAAGTTGCCGGATCTGGGACTCAAACTGCAGTTGACTTTATGGGAGTCCAGCGACATAACCATTATGCCATTGGCTGATCTCACCTTTTTTTTTTAATTGCCAGAGGGCACATGCACTCTCCAGAGACAGAGAGGGGAAAAGCACCCACTCAGTGGGGTATGGTCACACCTCAAAACTCACAGCTTTATGAAGTAAAACTATTTCTTACAAACACTGAGTTAAAAGTATTCGGCTATTTAGAATTACTGGGTGAGGGTAAAACAGAAGGTTAAGAAATATTAAAAGAAAATTCTTCTTTTAGAATACTTCCCTATTCTAGTTTCCTTTCCCATATTCTAAATAAGCCAGAAAGAAAATAAATATTGCAAGACAGAGTTTGCTCTTTTGGGAGGAGAGATTTTTGCTATAGGGTGTGTGTAGTTACCAGAGACAGAATGCAAGAAATCAATCACCTGCTGGTGGGAGGGCCGCGCTGCACTCCCTTCTCCTCCATTCTCCTCTTGGAATCTTGGGCGGGCATGCACGCACACACACACACACTTGGTGTGAGTTTTAAGTTGCCGGATCTGGGACTCAAACTGCAGTTGACTTTATGGGAGTCCAGCGACATAACCATTATGCCATTGGCTGATCTCACCTTTTTTTTTTAATTGCCAGAGGACACAAGCACTCTCCAGAGACAGAGAGGGGAAAAGCACCCACTCAGTGGGGTATGGTCACACCACAACCCCTTCTCCATTTCTCCATCCTTTTGGGATTTTGGTCGTGTGCGTGCACACACAAGTCTGGCATGTTTTTCAAGCCTCCAGGAACTGGGCTTTGTACCATGGTCAGCCATGTGTGACGTGGCTCCTTTAATCACTGAACTACAAGGCCAACCCAGCAGATTTTGCTTTTAAAGAGACTTCATTTAAAGAAGAAGAAATGAAAAGGAAGAACAACAAACTATCCTTATTTAGACCAACTTGTTAACCATTTTATAACTAAGCTTTCTTTCTTTCTTTATTAAAGAGGTTTTTGCCTTAAGGTGTGTGTGCTGGCTGGGGAGAGAGACTGAGACAACGTGAGGGAAAGTGAGAAATCACCCCCCCCCCCAGGGCCACACCGCAATCCCTTTTCCATTCTCCTCCCAGGATCTTGGGCACACACTCACATGTACTTGGCCTGAGTTTGAAGCCGCCAGGTCTGGGACTCGAACCACGGTTGGCCATGTGGAAATCCAGTGACATAACCGCTACATAATCTGCTGACCTCATGCTTTTACTTATTCTTAGCATTAACTTCCTGAAGTTTAATTGACTTTTTTGGCAGAGAAAAAAGATAATCAATGACATACTTGCTTCCTTGGAAGACCCCTCCCCCCAATTAAAGCCCAAGTCAATCCTAATGTGAATTTTATCATTAATCTAAAAACCGTCACCTACTGAGAAGCTGCCTCACAATAGCAGGGGTGGTAGACTGTGAATCCAGGGGAGAGAAGAAAGGAGCAAGGGAGTGGGCATGCATGTGTGCGAGCACTTCACCCACAGAAGCCTGCATCAATCAATTCACCCCCTTCTACTAATGAAGTTTATATGTAGGGAGAGAAAATGACCGTCCAGGCTGACTTCAGAGAGGGAGGTTCCTGCAATTTTTTTGATGGCAGCAACTAACAAAGAATAGATGAGAACTTCATCTTTAGAGACTGAAGGACAAAGACATTGGTCCTACTGTGGTGACACAGGCAGTAGGGTGCCTGTGTGATACGGGAGCTATACGGAAAGGCCTTGGGTTTGTTTCCCAGACTGACTTAAACATGCTAGGCCTGTGATTAGCTGATTGGAAGGCTGGAGGGAGAATTTTGATGTGATGAGACCCTGTTAGGGGTCCCTGTGTGTAGCTTCCTCTCTCTCTCATGAAAGAAATAATCTTTGAAAAAATTAAATTACAAATGTAAGACTGAACAGGAAAGACTGAAATAAATAATCTAGACTATTTTTAATTACTATTTTTGTTATAGGAGTGCATGCACTTGCCAGAGTGAGAGCAGAAGAGAAAGTGAGAGATCACCCCTCAGGGGAATGGCCACACCACAATCTCTTCTCCACTGTCCTCTCAAGATTTTGGGCACATGTGCCTGGTGTGATTTTTCAAGCTGTCGGGTCTGTGACTCAAAACATGCAACCAGCTATGTGGGATCCAGCGCCTTAACCTCCACAACCCACCTGCTGGCCCCCGTTTTTGTTGTTTTTTAAACATAAATAATAGAGGGGATCGGGTGGTGGTACCCAGTTAAAATGCAACACCCTGCAGGGCTGATCCGCGTGGAGGGGTTATGGGTTCATGTTCATGGACCTCCCTGAAGTATACTGGGCACACACATATACTGATGATCCCAGACTGGCTGAGACTGAGAGTGGAGTGTGGTGTCAAGACCCTACTGAGTGTGCTGTCTGTGTCTCTCACTCATGGGAAAAAGAAACGAACCGAAAGAAATATGAATAGTAGAAATAAGACAGCTGATTTCTCTTGTGATACTGGTTCAGTTTAGTATCTTTTGAATGTATTCTAAAGGCAAGGGCTGCCTGTGAGGCTGGCCACGCAGGCCCTCGCCCTGGGCCCAGGGCAGGCACATACCTTCCTTCTGGCTGCCTGCAGCGCTCTGCTGTTGCAGCAAGCTCTGGCTGTACAGAGTGGGCAGTGCGGCTGCTGCATACTGCTGAATTCCTGAGTAGGCCTGGGTGAGGGCGTCCATGGTGCCAGCCGTGCCATTCGTCAAGCCTGTGGCGCCAAGTCCTCCATTCAGAGCCGCCATACCTGAGAGCATTTGAGCAACTTTACAAAAAACCCAACAATAGAGAAGAGAAATAGCACTTATTCATTAGTGCTTTCCAAAGGAAGTTAGAGAATCATTTGACACAAGTACAACAGCAAGTGCATGCAGCTAGCACACCAATTAAACCAACAGGAAATTAAAAACGAAACCATGAAGAAATAAAGCATAATAATGGAGGGAAAAAAAAAGGACCTAAGCAATGATAACCCTCACTCCCTAGGCCAACGATCAAGATTCACCGAGGCAGTACAGTTAGACAATACATCTTAATTCCATGCAATGTGCTACTGGCAAGTACTATTGTTAAATTTTTGAAATAAAAGCCTTCTGCTTAGAGCTTAGAAGCATGTAAAAAAAAAAAATTAGTGGCAGAAGTCTGCAACAACCATACACTTACAACCATTTGGGCTCTTTGAGGAGCCATGGGATGGCTCAAGGGATTGAAGAGGAAAAGGGTAAGATAAATAAATAAACTTTTCCCATAAGCTGTCTGATGAAGAAATGGGATAAAAGTTTTGTACTCTATAAACTGGTGCATCAGTTGTCTCAATAACTGCCTTTCCTAAACAGCTGGACGATGTCAGACACTAGAGCCATAGGAAGTAGCCTCGCTGATCAGAATTGGAGCACAGGAAGAAATGTGGACCCTTTCTATAACTGCAGAGAACTAGAACTTGTTGTTCAACACCAGGGCTAGAAAGTGAAGTGTGCACTGCTCAGCAGCAGAGAATCCCTGTGCGCATGTGCGAGCGCGTACACACACACACACTGACACACACACACACACACACACTCACACGCGAGCATTAATCAGTGCCCAGATAACTGGGGTTTCTGCCAGTGAAAGAGCTCTGTGTCATGTTTTTCAATCAACTCAAGTGACACCTGTGTCTGAAGGCTGGAAACTGGCTACTAACTGATGGGAACTGGATGCTGGCCAGTATACTTTTTTGATTTTTCCTTGTGTCTTGGCTGCTCTTTTGCTCTATTAGTGGTTGCTGACTGTGTCATATTTTCCCTGAATACTGAATCAAAACAAGCAACATTTTATAGAGTGTTAACTTTCATATGAACTCAGGAAATGGAAGCGGTGACATCACAATTGCTTCAGTTCCCTTTACGATTATGAATTTTTAAAAATATGTGAGAAGACCTTACTGAAAACATTAACGAAAATCTTGATGAGATTAAGACAACTGATTAGAGATATTAAAATAACAAAGATGACTAACTGAAAAAAATTGGCAAGAAGTCTAATGAGCATAGAGGACAGCTAAGATAAGAATAGTTGGAAATTTTAATATTATTATACAGAGGAAGTGAATCGAACTGCAGAATCACCTCAAAACTATCAGTGTTCCTGCAGCCATCCACAGGACGAAGCAGAGGAGGGGAGGATGTTCTCTACCTCATTTGTGCTTGTTATTTTGGCAGCTCCATCTTAGGTTAAAAGGACTGAGGCAAGCCATGAGTTAGCCTGTAAACCAGAGGACTCTCCTAGCACTTCAGGGTTGCCACTTCTGCCGTGGGGCTTTAGGAAAGGTACCAATTACATTCTCCTTAGTACAGATACAGGGGTTGGAGGGTGGGGAGGTGAATCGGAAGAAAAAGAAAATAGGGTAACAGCCTCCTGAAAAAGGAAGTGACTTTAAGCAGATCCAGCAAGTACAAACTAAGCTAAGAGGTGTTGGCCAGCAGAGGTCCTCTGGATCTGCTGGAAGTTTCTTATTATGAAAGAATCTATTCTTTCTCTCCCTTTTATTCATCATGCAAGTAAGTACTGCCAAAGAGTGTGGAAATAGCCACCCCAATTGCCCTGAAAGATCTCCCTCATCCATGGTCACTTTTGCCTCATTGCCTCTTCTCTTCCTCTCCATCCCTGCTGCTATCATGGTTGCCAAAGGGCTGGGCAGTAATTCTCCTTTTCCCCTTTGGTCTTATTTCACTTCCCAATATTTCTCTTCTGAGAGGGGGTATAAAATAACTCAGAAAGCACTAGGCACCATTGGTGGGTTCCACTGGTTTTATTTTCATCGGACTGTGAACAAGAGCTTGATGTCCAAGTACTGAACTCAGCCCTCTGTGAACAATTCCTGGAGAAGTTCTAGCAGGCAAGTGAGTGGTGACTTGCTGCTCTCCTGAGTCCTCAAGGCACATGATTCTTGGAGCAGGTTGCAGATTGCACCAAATATGGACAGATCCTTTACCAGAAGGAAGTCTGAGTTCCATGCTACTCAGGAGAATGGCTGAGAGCACCACTTCTCTGATACCTTGTCAGCTGAGGGTCTCCCATGTAAGACCCATTGGAGTGCCTTCCGGGAACCCACAGCCTCTGTGACTTAGCCTCTCGACAAGGGTATATAGGCAGGTGGTATTTCACTGCAATAGTCACTAGCACCTCCAACTCCTACTCCTTGGCTAAGTGGACTTTTCTTATTTACCAGATAAGGAGAATTATCTTCCTATCTCCAACTCCTTCTTCCCTTCTTAAAAAATGACTCAGGATGAGCTCTGTGTTACTGAAACACCGGATGGATGTTTCAGGACTAACAGAGTACTTGTGAGGCTTGTAGCTCTAGCAAGTGGTGCTCCATTCATGTCCTCCACTCTTCCTGGCTACATCTTACAGTGGTTGGCTGTAAGGGCAAATCAGGGCAAATCTGCTTTCTGAAGAGATTGGTTTGCTTCTGCTGGTACCTTGAGTGTGAGATATCGGGGCTGGCCTTACCTGCCTGGGGAAAGGGATGGAGGGAAGGAAGGATTAGAAGTGGCACCAAGTGGAAGGGCTGAGGCTGTCCAAAGAGGGTCTAGTGAGGGATCTGTACAGGTGAGTGAGGAAGGGCTTGCCTCCTCCATGCGATAACCATCCTTTTGAGCAAAAAATACATATGCGTAAAATTTTCTAACAAGTACGCTGAGGATATTTAAAACCAAAACTATCTTGGAAACTCTGGAAGGGAGGGTGTTTGCCAAATCCAGGGTTGAATAGATAGTGATTATATGGTAGACCTTAAAGAACCATCAAAGGGAGATTTTTACTTTCTGAGAGTAATTCTTGTGGATGCCTGATGTTACTCTGTATTTCCTAATCATATCAAAGATAGTACTTGTCAACTCAGCTGCTGGTATCTGCTTACCTCTACAAGTTTTGGACACAGAAGCAGAGGTTTAAAAAAAATATAGGAGTTTTCCTTGAAAAGGGTAATTGGATTGACCGGTTTCTCTCACTTACCACGCATGCTATTTGGATGAAGAAGGCTGGAGGAAAATGACAGGTATGACAAACCTCCCCGAGGGAGATCTCTGTAGTGCTCAACTGTATGGCCAGTGCACTCTCTGATGATTAAGTAAGTGCTTTTCACTTAAGTGCTCTGTGAAGGCCCTTGACTGACAGAGACCCAAGGAGCTGGGAAACTGCAGAGTAAATCCACTACAGTGACATAAAAGGACTAACCCATAAATATAAGCATGAGCATCTTCTGTGGCCACCATGGAGATGGTGCTGGAAAGCAGAATCAGAAGCCAAGTGTCACGAGCAGACAGTGTTCATTTGTAAGTCACTCTGCTAGGTGGTAGCTATTTTGGTTTTTATTTTTCAATGGCAGGGCCTCCCAAATAGCTGGGTTTATGGTGTGCACTACCACACCTGGCTTTTTAGGGTGGGCTGGGAGTTAAACCTGGCTCTTCCATATGGCTTCAGCACATGGAGTGTCTACCAGTATGATGCCACAGATGAGCCCACTCTGCTAGGCTTATACCGAAGGAGAAAGAGAAGAAGTGAGGGACATACTATTGGGTTGCTGGAAGTCACGGCACATTTTTGAATGGAAAAATATAGAAAAGCACATCATGCCTTTTCCGACGACCCAATAATATGTTCCCATGGATTTCCAACCTATTTACTAGGGTAACTTTTTTTCTTTTTTTGTACAGGTGAAACATCTCCTTATAAGTTGCAAGCTGATAAATGAGAACCTATGTATAAACTGTCTGGAACAAAGGAGGCGAATATGAGTATGTACTAACAGTGGCACTTATATATGTGCCTGTGTTAATAATGTCACGAATGTGTGTGGGATTGTGTGCACTCAAATATGTATCATGCATACGTCATTATATTCTCAAGAATACAGATTAAAACAGTGACTTCACAATGCAAATAGAGTGATGAGTCACAATAACAGGCCTGAAACATCTTTTGTCTTTACATAAAATATTCCCATAAATGCTTGTCATCAGGCATTTGTGGCTGGTTATAGTCAAATGAGTGTAATTTTAAGCATTGTATGGCAAACTATTTGGAAGAATTATGCAATTTAAACAAGGGAAAATAAGGATGTCACTTGACATACACTTAAACACACAAATCAGACTCGTGGGTGGACCTATCAGCAAAAAGCATCTTCTTTATCTTAGTTCAGATATTAGGAGCTATAATATGTTTAAGGAGCCCTCAAAAACTCCAGCAGTAGTAGCCCCAAATGGTGAATTACTCGTCTTTCCTATGATCTTGTTAATTCCTGGTTTTGTCTTTAGGGTGCTATACTGTTTTAGCTCCTCCATTCATTACTATATAAGGGATAAAAATGAGTATCAAACAGTTTAATTTAGCTTCTTGTCTAACCAAAAACTTATTTTTTGGGGGGGTGAGCTTGGCCCTCTGTGAGGGGAGAGGGTGAAACTTAGGCTACAATGAGTCATCTCCCTACTTTCTTGCTGGCTGCTTTGTCCGCGGAAGAGTTGGTTCTATTCAGAAAAACACAGGGCTCCTCTGAAGGCAGCATCCAGTAGTTCCTGGGATAGAGCTGGGCAGGAAACAGTGATGATAGGAGTCTGTGGTCGACTATTCTGGAAGCTGACTTTGTCCAGGTAACCTTTTCTTGATTGCCTTTTTTAAAGACTTATCCAGTAGAACAGGTAACAATATCATTTGTGTTGAGGAAGAATACTCGAAAGAGGATACTCTATCTAGAAAGGTTTTCTCTTGATATTTAAGTAGCAAATATTAGCTCCAAGTCAATGTTGAGATTGTAAAATAGCTCTTATCAACTTGGGAGGAATGTGTTTTCATTTGTGTGTCATTGTTGGTTTACTTAAACATTTTCCTGGTTCATCCTGTCTGATGGGGAATTATTGGAAGTCAGAAATACTATTTTTTCCATGAGTTAACATTCTTACATTAATCCATTGGCAAAGAATTTTTTTAAAAAAAAAACAAAAGGATTTGAACTTGTCCTTGCCAGAAGCGAAATTTGTATAACCCAAGGCCCCACCCAAGAACTAGTCATGGTTTCTCTGCCATCAACAAAGTCCCTCTCCAGTCCCTCGCAATAATGATGGGAAAATCCCAGCAACGCACAACAGAGCAGGGTGGACGGGAGCAGGACCACAGACGAGAGGACGCACACACAGCAATCATGGGCACGTGCTGAGGAGGACAACCATTCCCACTGGCCTGTGACTTTGCAGACCAAGGACAGGCAGGCGATCAAATCAAAGTCCTTGTTTTAGGGGAACTAGGTCCTGGGGCAAGAGAAGCAGCATGAAGGGATGTGTGGAGCACACATCCTCACCCGAGGTGAAGGACAGGGTCAGAGAGAGGAGCTGTACCAGATACAGGAGGCAAGGCAATGAGGCTCCTACTTGGCTGTGGGAAAAGGTAAAATGTTTTAACTGGAATAACACGCTCTGGTTGTCACACGGTTACCACTTCATGGACTATAAGCTAAACTATAATATTTAGAAGGAAAATGGTTGTCTCTACCTATGATCAGATAAAACTCCTAATTTTATTTCTGACAGAACATCTAAATAAAAAGATTTACTAAACCCCCCAAATTTCCTACTTATAAATGTATGTGTTTTTTTAAAATTAGGATTACCTAAATTAATCTTCATTTGGATGAATTTCAGGTTTTTCTTTTTTTTTTTAAACCAAACAAATTGTAAGGTATTCTTTTCTTTTGTATTTGCCAGAGGAGAGGGGATTGGGAGAGAGAAAGTAAGAAAGTACCCTACATGGGGAATAGCCATGCCACAATCCCTCCTCCTTCATTTCTCCTTTTGGGATTTTGGGCATGCACACATGTGTCTGGCCTGTTTTTCAAGTTGTGAGGTCTGGGACTTGAAGCATATGGTGGGACCATGTGGAATCAAGCCACCTTAGTCACCACACCACTGGCTCATAAGGTACTCTTTTTGCAGTTTTGAAGTATAAGATTACTGGGACATTTTTGCTTTTAAAAAATTGTACTGCCTGATCATCCTTTAAACTCAGCCCACTAACTGATCATGGCTTAAAATAGGGCAACTGTCAAGGATCCCTTTAAGAATTTAAATGGGTATGTGTCAGGTTGCCTGGGCTGTATGGTAGGTAGCTGCCCCCCCCCCCCCCCCCCGAGTCAATAGCTCTGTTGGCTATCATGGACCTCTTAGGTGGCTACTCTCAAACAACAGGGGGCGACTGAATGGAGGGACAGGCAAATGAGGTGTCGAGGTGTCCCCTCTATGGGTCAAGGATCAGTTTCCCCGTCACGAAAGGCTACATTAATCATGAGCCTAAAATATGACTGATCCTCTGTCCCAGTTACCGTTCCCCACATAGATCTAAAATGACAGGAATGGGTAGGCTGTGCTGGATAGAACCTAGAGCTCTTTGGTGAGTGCATGTATTTCAGGACCACGTGTGATTTGTATGCTATTCTCAACCTCTCTTTCAACCTGCCATTGTAGAATGATGTCCTTCTGCACTGTCCCTGCTGCAGAGTGACTCACGCCTAGTGCTCGATAACTGGTGTCAGATGATGCTACTTTCAGGAGGGGCTCATCTCCACTCGACGTCATCCCTTCTTTCTAAGGCCTCATTTTTCCCCCCCTATAGAATCAGGAACCTTTGGACTTTAGAACTGAGAGAAACTTTCACTTGACTCAGAACTTTTAAGTTTCAAGTGGAAGATTTGCCTGAGCTCCCACAGCTGAAGGGCAACAGAGCTGGACTGAGACTCCTGACGTCCAGCCCATCCATTTTTCTATAATAACCCACTGTCTCACAAGAGAGTAGAATAAATCCCAAACTATGCCAAATTTCTTCAAGCCTGAGAATATCTGTCATCCACCGTAATCTATGGACGAACACATCTATAATACTTAAAGAGTGGGGGGTGGTGAGTAGTTGGTATTTTTGAAACAAAATGAATGTAGATAGATAGCATTTGCCTTTCAAAGCATGCGCTCCTCCATCCCAAGTTTTAGTTCTCCCCGTTACATATCCTTTTAGGTCATTTCTGGCTGACCGTTTTCTGTGGAGAATTTGGGGGAAGGCTGTCCACCAGAGCAGCAAATACTCACTGTTTATGGTACCTGCTAGTGCATTAATATTATTCAGTCCAACAGTGGCTCCAGCCAGTCCTTGCAGAGTCCCCAGAGAAGTCAAGGAATTCATGGCTGCACCAGCAGTGGAGTTGGGGGTTGAAGCAGCCACTGAAAAACAAAAGACAGAGGAAAAGGGGAAGAGAAAGCACAAGATCAGTGGAAACCAACTGGAATGGAAAGTAACCTGTCATCATTTCAGCAGAGAGCGCCAAGGAATCATTCCGTCATTAGAAGTCTGTGAGCCTTGCTTACATTTTTGGTGTGAAAGAGATGGGATTGTACTTGTGGCAATTTTGACAATTAGACGTGGCAATTAAAGAAATAATTATAGCTCTGTTTTGCCAATAAGGCGAATATGCTCACTGTTCCTTAGTAGGGGGAAATCTGTGAATGGAAGGCCTGTCCTTCGGGGTAATTCTTCATTAGCCCTCCTTGAGGAGAGCCGCATCCTCTCAGCCTCCTTCTTAAGGGCTAAAAAACAACCAAAGCAAAAAGGAATTGGCAGCAGAGTAAAACAGCAGGTCCTAGCTTTTTTTTTTGTATTGTTTCTGTTTCAGACTTGGTGATTTCTCAAAGAAGTTTTGAAAAGAAAAATGCATTTTTTCTGAGTTCGACAGAAAACATTAAGACCCTAGTGGTGGTGGTAGGAAAAGGTTAAGTGACAGGAGAAAAACCATTCTGGTACAAACCTGCTGCCCCTATTCCCTTTTCTTTCTTGAGATATAATTCCCATATCATAGAACTTACCCCTTTATATAATTCAGTGGTTTTTAGCAGACAGTACAAAGTTTTATCACCGTCAGTAGAAGCCCATCCATTAGCACTCACTTTCCATTCTCTCACCCCTCCAACACTGGAAACCACCAACCTATTTCTCTCTCTCTATGAATTTGCCTAGTCTGGATAGTTCGTACAAGTGGACTCATAAGACATGGGGTGTTCCGTGCCCGTCATCTTTCACTAAGCCTAATGTTTTCAAGGTTCAACCGTGTTGGAGCATGTGTCAGAATTTCTTCCTTTTATTGCTCGATAATATTCCATTGTATGGATTACATCACATTTTGTTTATCCATTCATCAGTTGTGGACATTGTGTTGTTTCTACTTTTGGGTTATTGTAAAAAATGCTGCTATGAACGTTTATGTACAAGTTTTTGTGCAGAAATACACTTTCATTCCTCTTGAGTTTAGACCCAGGAGTGGAGTTGCTGTGTCATGTGATAAATCTATGTTTACCACTTTGAGGAACTGCTCAACTGTTTTCCAAAGTGGCTATACTTCCTATCCCTTTTGTACTTATAACTGCGTCTGCAAATAATATTTCAAGCATCTTATATTTGTGTAGCTTTACAACCCGCTGGTCTGTTTCTCATCTATATTATTTTTATTCTTTTTTTTTTCAAAACTCCATTCTGGTGATGGAGTGTGTGCATATGTGCCCAAAATCCTGAGAGGAGAATGGGGAAGAAGGGAATGTGGTGTGGCCATCCCTCCTGGGTGATTTTTTGCTTACTGTCTTTTTCTCTCTGTCTCTCCAACGAGCACATGTACCCTGTAGCAAAAAATGTTTCTTAAAAGAAAAAAGGCTATCCTCATTTCCAATCACTGCTAAAAGATCCAGTTAGTCTGTTTCTAGCTGTAAAATCCTGAGTATTTGAACTTCCTTTCCATCCTCCTTGCCTTGCTAAAACTCATACCTAATCTGCCTTTAGCAACTACATAGAATTGCCTGCAACATGCCTTACTTGGGATTTCATTTGGATGAGGCCCAATAAAATTCCTAAAAAAAATGAATTTCCCACCTTATCACTTTTCTGTTCAAGTATGGCATTAACTTCTATCACCTGATAATATCTGCTATCCTTTTGTTGTTGTTCAAATAAAATGATATATAACCATGTCAGTGTTTCTAATTCTCTTGTATTATGAAACTTTTCAAACATTCACAAAAGCAGACAACAAATAAAAATCCCATAAACTTACATCTAGATTCTACAGCATTCAAGAGTCAACCTACTCCCTTTCTCTAAGCAAATGCCGGACCCTGCGTCACCTCACCTCTACATACTTCAGTATACAGTTCTAAAATTTATGTACATTTTGTTTTATAATGTCACAACCATAATTATGCTTTAAAAACATAATAATTCCTTATATTCACTGGTTGATGATAATTTGCTTATAATTTTTTTCATCTAAGTGGATGAAGATTGGCCTTTATTTTTGTCCTTATGCTACATTTAGTTTTGCAACCAAGTTTTTTTTTTTTTGAAGAGATTTTTGCTATAGGATATACTTGCTCACTGGTGAGACAAAGAGACAGAAAGTGAGAAACCACCCCCAGGGGGATGGCCATGCTGCAATCCTTTCTCTTCTGCTTCCTCTTGGGATTTAGGGCATGCACACACACACACATGCACCGGGTGTGAGTTTCAAGCGGCAGAGTCTAGGACTTGAACCGCTGTCAGCCATTTGGGAGTTCGGCAATGTAACCATTACGCTCTCTGCTGGTCCCACAATCAAGTTTTTATTAACCTTTTAAAAAGGCTGGGAAATTGTTCCTATTTTTCTATTCTTTGGAATAGACAATATGAGATTAAAATCACTATAACTTAAAATATTTGCTAGAACTTGTCAGTAAAAATAGTCTAGATTTGTTATTTCTTCATGGATGATTTTGAAATACTGATTACATTTCTCTAATGAACAGGATTATCTCATTCTTCTTTTTCCTGTTGAGTCAGTTTTATTGCCATTCCTTTCTTGGAATTTGTGTGTTTTAAGTTTTCAAATATGTATTAGTATAATTATTAAGTTATTCTCAGTAAAAATTTTTTTAAAGGTTTTCCTCATAAGGTGTGTGTGCTTACTGGAGAGGAGAGACAGAGCTACAGAGAGAGAGAAAGTGAGAAATCACCCCTGTTACTCTCAGGGGTGATGGTCACACTGAAATTCCTTTTCCTACTTTTTCTTCTTGAGATTTTGGGCAAGACACATAGTTTGGGACTCGAACCATAGTTGACCATGTGGGAATCCAGAGCCTTAATCACCACACCATCTGCTGGCCCCCTCAATAAATTAATTTCTTCCTTTCTTCTTTTCTTACTTTCTTCCCTCCTCCCTACCCTCCTTCCTTCTTTCTTTCCTTCCTTTCTTCCCGCTTTTTAGAGGTTTTTGCCTTATGGTGCATCTGCTTGCCAAAGAGATATAAAGACAGAGACAGTGAGAGGGAAAGTGAGAAATTACACGCCCCCACCCCCCCAGGGAGGATGGCCATGTTGAAATCCTGTCTCCTCTATTCTCCTCCCAGGATCTTGGGTATGGACACACACATGCCTGGAATGATTTTTTTTTTTTTCCTTTTTTTGGAGAGGTTTTTGCTATAGGGTGCGTGCGCTCTCCAGAAAGACAGAGAGAGACAGAGAGCGAGAAATCACCCTCCAGGGGGGCAGGCCACGCCACAATCCCTTCCCCTCCACTCTCCTCTTGGGATCTTGGGTACACACACACATGCGCCTGGTGTGAGTTTAAGACACCAGGTCCGGGACTCGAACTCTGGTCAACTATATGGGAGGCCAGCAACATAGCCATTACGCTAACTGCTGATCCCCCTGGAATGATTTTTAAGCCACCGGCTCTGGAACTGGAACAGCGGTCGGCCATGTAAGAGTCCAGCAATGTTACTGCTCCGCTATCTGCAGGCCCCAGTAAATTTTTTTAAAGAATTACTTATTTAATTAATTTATTATTATTTTAAAAATTCGTTATGTGTTCATCAAAGAGAGACAGACAGACAGAGAGAGACTGAAGGTGAGAAAACAATCCCCCAGGTCCAGGACTTGAATTGCTCTTGGCCATGTGGGAGTCCAGGGCCTTAACTACCATGCCACTTGCTGGCCCCCTCAACAAATTTTTAAAATCAGAAATATTTACATTTAAGTCCCATTTTTTTTTTTGGTCCACTTGATCTGTCAGTTACTGACATGTAACAATCTTCTACTACAACTATGCTAATTTCTTCATGTAAATGTGTTCATTTTTGGAAATATATTTTGAAGACATATTATGACTTCCATAGATATTTGGAAATAATCATATTTTCTGGCGAGACAAATCTTTGGTAGTGACCTCTCTATTTCTAGTTTACTCTGAAGTCTGTTTTGTAAGATGTTAAAAATGCAGTTCCAGGGTCCAGCAGATGGCATAATGGTTATGTCGCTGGACTCCCACCTAGTCAATTGAGGCTCGAGTCTTGGGCCTGGCAGCTTAAAACTCACACCGGGCATGTATGCATGTGTGCCCAAAATCCCAAGAGGAGAATGGAGGAGAAGGGCTGCGGTGTAACCATCCCCTCTGGGGCGGGGGGTGATTTCTCACTTTCTGCCTCTTCATCTTTGTCTCTCTGGCGAGTGCACACGCTCTGTTGCAAAAATCTCTCTTAAAAAAAAAAAAAAAAGACTAGTCCCAGACTTTTATGGTTATTTGAACGGTATATCTTCTGCTATCTTTTGCTTTTTCATCTGTTTATAGCTTAGCGATATGCTTTGTAATCAATATATAGACAGTTTAAAAAAATACAGCCTAATAATTTTTTAAAGAATTATTTCTTCCTTCCTTCCTTTCTTTCACTTTCTTTTCCTTCCTTCCTTCCTTCCTGCCTTCCTTCTTTCTTTCCATCCATCCATCTATCCATCCATCCATCCATCTTTTTCTTTCTTTCTTTTTAATTTCACCAGAGAAGGACAGTGAGAGAGAGAGAGAGGGAATGTGAGAAGGCAAGCTGCCAGGTCCGGGGCTTGAACTGTGGTTGGCCATGTGGGAGTCCAGCGCCATTAACCACCATGCCACTTGTTGGCCCCCAGCCTAATAACTTAATAGCCTTTTAATGGTAGCATTATATTTTGGGCTATTAAACTGCTTATATATTTTCTTCATCTTTTTTTGCCTTCCTTTAGGTTTGTTTTTCCAATGCCATTTTCTCCCTCTATGACTTCGGAAGTAATGCATAATATTTATATCCTTTTATATATGGTCATAGATTTTTTTTTTTAAAAGAAAGATTATTGCTATAGGGCATGCATGCTTGCTGGAGAGACAGAAAGTGCGAAA